AAGGAAGCCTTATAATATGATAGAATGATTACTCCCACTTTCTTCACAATTGTTTTAGCTAATCCAGTTTCTGGACATTTATATATAAACTTTAGAATAAACTTGTCCATGTCTATAAAAAAAATCTTGACAGAAATTCCATTAAACCTAAGATCCATTTGGAGAGAACTGGCATCTTCACAATGTTGAGTCCTCCAATCCATGAACACAGTATGTCTCTCCATTTATTTAGATCTTTATTCATTAACACTTTGTAATATATATACATCCTCTGCATGTTTAATTAGATTTATACTTCAGCATTTCATTCTTGAAGTTAGTGACTACAAAGAGTACAGTTTCCAACTTTGGTTTCCATGTGTTTATGGCTAGGTTATAGAAATACAACTGATTGCTAGAGATGTGTTTATCTTATATTGTTTCCTTACTGAACTCACTACTAATTCTAGGAGGATTTTTGTGGACTTCTTGGGATTTTCTACACAATCATGTTATCTGTAAACCAGGGCAGTTTCCAATCTGTATGCCTTTTATTTTCTCTTGTCCTACTCTAGCAGCTAGGATTTCCGGGACTGTGATGAATAAGAGTGGTGAAACGAACACCCTTGTCTTATCTCCAGTTTTAGGGGGAAGTATTCAGTCTTTCACCTTAAGTATGAAGCTAGGAGTAAACATGGCTTCTGCCCTTGGCCAGGTGACAAAGAGTAACCTCTCTGAATATAAAATTTAATGAACATAGGTCTCAGAGTAAGGAGAAACTGTATTCTTTCTGCCTACTTAGTGTCCACCCACCTCCCTCATAGAGCAATGCTTTTTCTCTCAGGGGAAGCCAACAGTGGACAAGTGTGTAAAGACTGGTCACTTATCTACCCCATCCTCTGGACCAAGAATGTCATTCAATAAAATTCAAACATAGGACTTTAGAATTCTTTTATAAAAGCTCACTTTACACTATACTTACAGATCAGGAATCCATGAACAAGGGCCTATGATACAAATCCAGCCTGCTATCTGTTTTTGTAAATAAAGTTTTATTGAAACACAGTCATACTGTTCATTTATATATTATGGTTGCTTCTGAACTACTACAGCAAAGTTAAGCAGCTGCAACATGGCCCACCAGGCTGAAAATACTTCCTATTCGGCCTGTTGCAGGAAAATTTTATTTGACCCCAGTTCTTAAAATAGCATGTAAGCCTGCAATAGTGAGGAAACACCTCACCACTACATGGAAAAAAAAACATTTTGGAATGTGAAGCCGCAAAGAAAAAGAAACAACTCCAAATATTATGTAAATCAGACTCAGATGGGCCGGAAACTATTATACCCCAGATTTTTCATTTATGTAATCCAATAAACCCAGATTTTTCTCCGGCCAGTTTGAATTGGGTCTCCTTCATTTGAATCGAAAGGATTCCAATTTGCTACATAGGTAAAATCCGTAATATTCAATGTAGGGCCACAACCCTAGTTCCTTCCTCTGGCATATGTCCATTAATAACATATAAGATATTCAACATTTCTTTAGACTAGAATGTGACTGGGTGCTAAAAACTGTGATTTATGTAACAATTAACAAAAATGTTGTGAAATCAACTGATTCAGGGTTCATTTCGGGTTTTCTTTTCCAACCAGCCATTCTAAAGCTTTTGCTGAACAATGAGAGAACAAAAAAAGAACAAAAACCAAAATTACTCCCACCTCCAAAGAAAAAGAAAAAGCCTCTCAACACTGAATAATCTGTCACAGGACAAATGAGATAGAAGCATAAAAACAGAAGACAGGTGTCCCCATTAACATCTCCCTGAAATAAGGGAATTGCTCTAAGACCAACAAGAGAAAGAGCAAGTTAGAGAAAGCCAAAACTCCCAGGGGACAGATTTAACTAATTTGAGAAATAGTGATTAAAACTGGAGCTGCTAATTGTCTACTGGGCAAACATCTCCAGTAATGTTCACTGGAGGCCCTAGCACTGGGAGGCAAAATCACGCCGAGTGTTTATCACGCAGTCAATCATTCGTGTGTATTCCTCATCTCTCCTCAGGAAACACATAGAAGTATGGTTTTCAATGCAAGCTCTATGTTCCTGGGAGGACATAATTTTATATCATCTTTAGACACAGAATTATTCTGTGTTTAAACTTGTTTTTAATGTGTACGATCTGGAGCAAGGAGATGTTTCTTTCTATACTACACTTTCCATCTACAGAGGCCAGATGCCAATCTATAGGAAAACTGAAGTGGTTAATAAGAGACCAATTACACACAGACAAAGAAGAAATGTCAAGGGCAGGGAGGGCTGCAAGAGGCTGAAAATGGAGTTGGTGAAGTAGTTTCAGAACTTCAGCCTGGTGAGGATGAGGAATAATAGTGGGATTTTTTTTTTTTATGGCCACCAAAAATAACATGTTATGGCAGAACTGTTCGTCCTGGGTATTTCCTTTATTATAAGTTTTAAGAATCGTTCAAGAGAGTCAGAGCTAGACATGGTGGTACATACCTGTAATCCCAGTGGCTCAGGAGACTGTGGCAGGGATCACAAGTTCAAAGCTAGCCTCAGCAACTTAATGAGACCCTAAGCAAACTCAGCAAGACACTATCTCTAAATAAAATACAAAATAGGGCAGGGGATGTGCTCAGTGGTGGAGTGCCCTGAATTCAATCCCCAGTAATGAAGAGAGAGAGAGAGGGAAAGTATTATAAAAATTAGTTGAGTAAGAATCCTTGGAAGGCAATTGGACAGTTTACTACAGATGAAAAACCAAACATATCTAGAGACAGACATGGGTTTGAATTCCAGCTGTGCCACTATGGTGGAGACTGCCAATACCCACAGCATCTTTCCCTCCTTCTTCCTTGAAGTTGTGTTGGGTACTGGCAGGGCTGGTAGGTGCCTATGTGCAGTCTGGATTTCTCATTCTCCTCTGCAGACAGCTGTGGTCAAATCATTACGTTTTGAATAATGGAAGTGAGATTTCTGCTTCTGGGTCCTTCAAAATACTTGCCCTGGAGATGTGTTTGGTTTGGGGTTTGTTTTATGTGTCTGTGTTTGGGTTTTGGTTGGTTGTTTTGAATCCAGGTCTCAGTATGTTGGGCAGGCTAGTCTTGAACTCACGGGCTCAAGCGGTTCTCCTGCTCAGCCTCCCAAGCAGCCAGAACTAGAGGCATGAGACAACGACGTCCAGCTGCCCTGGGTGCTTTCATCTACATTTTCTGGCTGGAAAATGGCACTAACTAGAGCAAGCTGGGAAGCCATAGGTTGACAGAAGGATAGTACAAGGGATGAGCAACCCACCTCTGCTCTCAGAAACAAATACACTTCTTTCTTCCTTAAGCTACGACACTTTGGAGTCTCTCTACTATATAGCAAACCAGCCTGTAGCTGACTAACATAGCCAATTACTATCTGTGCAACTTGGTGCAAGTTATTTAACTCTCTAAACCTCAGTTTCTTCATCTATAAAATGAAATCGTAACACTTCTTTCTTAAGGCACTGAAGAGAAATAAATGGATTAAGAGATATAATATACCCAATCTTGTGCCTAACACATTTTAAAAAGTGCTCAAAAGATGCTAGCAGGGGCTGGGTTGTGGCTTAGCAGTAGAGCACTTGCCTAGCATGTGCGAGGCCCTAGGTTTGATTCTCAGCTCCACATAAAAAAATAAATAAATGTATTGTGTCCAACTACAACTAAAAAATAAATATTAAAAAAAAAAGGATGCTAGCAAAGATGAGGGCTTTCAAGAACCTACTTTCAAAGGCCTCTAACATCAAGCAATGATTGTGCCTACAAAGCCCTAATGGTAGAAATGTGTATCTGCTTTTGAGAGCATTTTTATGGGAAAAACATAATTACAGAAAAACATAATTATCTTATATTTTAGTCCAGGAAAGAATTAAGATTAAACAATGTTTCATTATGGTTTAGACAACTGTGCCTAGATCTTTAAATAGTTCTTTAAACCTTGGTCTATATTATTATAATAAATGATATGCAAACTCTATTTATTCATGTTTAGTTGATCAAACTGAGACCAAGGTTTATAAAAAACATAGTTAAGTAGGAAGGTACCTGCAGCTATGTTGCCAAAGCCCCTCACCAGGGCAGGCCGAGAGAGACACACACAAAGGAACAAAGATGGTCTGTACTGGTCACCCAGTGTGGCACACCAAGCCCACGGCCTTCTTTTTCCTTGCATACATTTCTCTACTTGAACAGTGCTTCTGTGAGTGTTAATTACTGGCCCCTCTGGCCCTGTAGGGTCTTTCTGTCTTTTATTGGTGAGACATGGCTAGACTATACTCTTAGGATTTTTGTAAACTTGAAATTAGCTGGACACTGAAGTTGAGAACCTTAGCATCAAGATAAGAGGACTGTTCTGGGACTTGCCTGGAGCTCTTATGTGGGTTTATGTCACAAGATGCATAACAACCACAAGATGAAATCACCCAGCTGAGGCCAGCATCTGTGAAATGGCAGCACAGACCAAAACACCAGTCTTAACTCCCTCCACCTACCCAGAAAACATCCCAATGTTTATGATGGAATATGAGTTTCTATGGCAAAGGAACAAGGCAATGGAAGATGCTGTATAACCTGTTCACACTTTTATGATCATTTATCCCATTAAAATGGGTTTGAATAAGGTTTTGCATCCTACTTCAATAAGGCAATAAACATTTAGTGAGCCAGACTGGGCTGTGCCTCCTTTAAGAGACCTGGGTTCATTATACCTGCCTCTGCAAAGGGGGAGCCTTGGGGTAACACCATGCAGAACTTCTACCTTGGGACGGAAAGGCCAAAATTCAAGAACTACATACACATAGAAGCAATAGCAAAATCCACAAAAAATTACCCCAGGAATAAAAAACTACCTGTGGTACCTTGGCTTCAAACACTCAGAGCTTTAGAGCAACAGCAAAAAATCACTGAACTAAGGAAGCAACAAACAACTCAGGATCTTTATTCTTGCTCTGCTTCCCTGAATTGTTACTTACAGGTTCCCGGCCATCCATGGCTTCCATCCAGAGCCTCCGGTCCTCTTCTGACAAAGCCTGCATGGTGATAACCCCTGGCCTGTGGAGAAAGGAGGGACACAGACATGAACCAGTGCCACATGGAGATTGGCAAAGGTAAACCTTAAAAAAATACCCACTCTCCAGAGTGAGAGGCTACTGAAGCCAACAAAACAAAGAGGGGCACAGCACTCAAATTTTCTAAGACACCTTCCAGTGCATAAAGCAAAGCCGCCTTCCCAAATCCCTTTCAGTAAGCCCTCCTCCCTAAGAAAGGCAGAAGAAACAAGAGATATTGGTAAGGGACACGGGAGTAACAAGATTCCTTTAGAGCTCCTTCCTTGCTTGGAACCCTGCTCATTTCTCTTCTTCAGAATGTTCAACAGAGTACTTTACTCACAGGATAAATGCAATAAGTATTTATTGAAGTGAATGGAGTCACTGGACTCAGGGGAAAATGTCCAAGCTGGAGGTCTCTTGATCTCCTAATATCTAGTCCATTGCTTCTAAGTTGCTTTGACATGGAGAAGTTTAATGTAGTCAATCAGCTTGTAATTAAGATTATATTAAGTGTACGTAGATTTTAATGAATACTTACCATATCTGGGGTTAAGTGCTTTATGGACATTAGCTCTTTCCACTCTGTCACTGAAAACTGCTTGCTGTTTACAACTGAGCACAAGCATCCAGAAAGGACACACACAAAATCAATTGGCATTACGAATGGTACTCCACGAGAAAGAGGACTATGTCATAAATATGACCTCAGAAGGAGCTCAATTGCTGAGTAAGGTAGGAGCCCTTTATTTAGGGTCACAGAGAGATCCCAGACTGTCCATAACCACTTTCCCTCCAAATGCTTATGTATTTTTCTGTAGGAGCAATTCAAACTATCCTTCAGGTTCTCAAAGAGGAATCAGGTACAGTGGCACACGTCTGTAATCCCAGAGACTTAGAAGGCTGAAACAGGAGGATTACAAGCTCAAGGCCAGCCTCAGCAACTTAGCAAGACCCTGTCTCAAAACTAAGAATAAAAAAAAAAGGGGGGTAGGGGTGTGGCTCAGTGGTAAAGCATCTCTGAGTTCGATCCCCCGTTTTGTAAAAACAAATCTCAAAGAGTACTGCAAACCTTAAAAAAGTTAAGAGTTGCTGATTTTAACCCTCTCAGACTTAAGTCTGAGAAAGCCTGAAAGGCAGGAAGAGATCTACTGAATGAGAACTAAGTCCAACTGCCATCTGAGTCCACAAATTCTGTGGAGAACCCCAAGCAACTCAGTACTAAAAACCCGTGAGGCTGGTCCCCCGAACACACAAGCCTGTTCATTCCAACCTTCCTAGAATCTCTGCTCCTGGTTGATGTCCACAGTTGCAATAAATAGGACAGACCTGTTTTTGTTTAGCATATTTTAAATATTATATCTCCATCTTTTCATTAATCACCCCTCCACTTCCCCTGAGAAAAAAGTTTTCAAAGATGTGAGCATGTAAGGTTTTGGGCTGTGAGGAGCATGGGAAGGGTGGGTGAGCACATGTGCCTGGGTACATGAGCATATGGGGGTGGGGGGGTGAGGTTGTGGGAGAGTATGTCGGGGTGAGAGAGGGTGAGTGGATGGGTGGAGGGTGGGTGTATTGAGGATGGGAAGACAGTGATTTCTGAGAGATGGTCATTCCTCTGAAGGCCATACTGGGTGCTGGCACCATCTAACACAAAGATGACTGCAGAGATGGAACAACCCCTCTCACCACAGGTACCTACAAGGGCTCTCCCTTAACTTCTCAGAAATTCTCATTCTCAGATCCAAATGCCCATGTCCCACTATCAACCAATTAGTGTACCAGATTCCCTGAGTGTATACAGACTGTGCTGGCATCCAGGGCTCCACAAAACAGACCATCTGTCATGGGGACACAGTGGATTGATTCTCCCCTTTCACCTTTCAAAAAGTCAAGTGCACTGAATTCATTTACTAGTTCTAGAAGTTTTCTGGTGGAACTTTTAGGATCTTCTAGGTATAGAATCATATTAACAGCAAATAGTGCCAATTTGAGTTCTTCTTTTCCTATGTGTATCCCTTTAATTTTTTTCATCTAATTGCTCTGGCCAGTGTTTCAAGAACTATGTTAAATAGAAGTGGTGAAAGTGGGCATCCCTGTTTGTTCCAGTTTTTAGACATGAATTGGGGTGAATATACTGTATTACAACCAGAGATACGAAAAATTGTGCTCTATGTGTGTAATAAGAATTGTAATGCATTCCA